TAATGTAATGTAAGTTATGTCAGGGAAATTATCCCTCATCAGTGCTTCACCTGGACCCTAATGACTTTCTCAGATGTATATCTTTTTACATAATTATTACAAATTTATATCAGTTCATGTAATTTTCAAGCAGAAACTCCGGATCAATATGACACTACTGTTTTCAAAACAGGCAAACTAGTACATAGCTATAATCTAATATTTATCTGGGGGTCCACGTGGACTCCATACTCTCATTGACCATCACTATACATGCAATTCACCCTATAGCATACAAAACAAATTTCTAAACATAAATTTCACTATATAGGCTGTTGTAGAGGATAATCCATCAAATTAGTACAGTATCATCTGGTCTGTTTACATATAACATCAATGTGATAAGAATGTATGCTCATATCATTCTTCTGATATGGTACTTCCCTCCACTCACAAATGTTTTTCTTTATGTATGACACAAGCCTTCTGCTCCTCCCTATTGGAATCTCATGATTCCAACATATCTCTCATGTTAATCATCATGTGTCACTTCTCCACCAATATTAGCATGACATATTCATGTGCCACATGTGACTCCCTCTATATGCCTATACCGAACTATCACTTCTTGTTTGGCAGTGCTTTTGTTTGGATGTGTTCCTTTTTTGTTTAAAATTTCATGTTTGTCTTTTGTATACTTACAAAGTGGTCGTCATTTATTTTCACTTCTAGTTTCTATTAAGACTGTTTCTTAACTTCACTTTAATCCCAGAGTATTACAGTCGCATTGTTATTTATACTTTCGATTATTGGTTGACTCTTCCTCATTATAAGTTCTGAAGTTCATGTTACCACTTCGGTATTCACACCTGTGACTAATGCTATGTCTCAGGCCTCAGGTGCAGGCAATCTGGTGGAAGATTTATCTGCATTTATTAGTCGGAAGATTGAATGTTACATGGGTCAAATTCTATCTCTGGACCTCACCCCACTTCCTCCCCCCCAAAAAACACCTTGTTCAGGCAGATAAGGACTTGGATTGCCTATTTCCACATTCCTGATTTTGCCATGCCTTCCTGTGCCCTACCTGAGGAATCAGTTAGGCCTAATATGGTCTTTTTGGATTTCATTTCTCAGTTATGTGATATGTTATCCCTTTCCCATATTTCCTATTAACCAGTGTCCTTCCTTACTTGATGATCAATCTTCCCATCCCTATTTGGTTTTTCCCCCTCCCTGGATATTTGGGTACATGCTGACCAATTTTCCTACATATCTTGTCTTACCCCACAACTCTTTTACGGTATCTTTCTACCATCCATCTTCTCTCCGAGGCTCTCCACTAGAATCCTGAGGAGTTTTCTGGGGACATCCTCTCCCTTTTTTCCTCCACATTGTCTCATTTGTTGTTTTTGGCTATGGCTTTACATATGTGGTTTCTCTGTTGTTGGGATCTTCTAGGTGATGATGCAATCTTAACTTGCATTCGTTTCCCATCATCTTATCTTTGGGATTTATGTAAGACTCCATTTCTATGGTAATACATCTTTGACACAATCCCTGAGTCTTTGGAATCATGAGTTGCATCAGTACAACAACAGTCTACCCTTTTCAATCTTGTTGCCCATTTGTCTCAATCAGAGCCAAATATGGTGCCTGTTACTCTTTCCTGTCCCTCCTTTTCCCACCCTTACCTGTCCATTCTTCTAACAGTGCCTCTTTTCATCATTTCTCCTATTATACTTGTCACATCGCCAACAGTATCGGTAACTACCCGGTGGTTTCTAGTTCAGTGGGAGCTTGGCTTGCCAATTTTCTTTTTCACTGATGTCAAAGATCATTGGTTTCTTCAAATTTTTTGAAAGAATTCGTGATCCTGTTTTTTCCCCACTTTCTATATATCCTATACCCATTTTGTTCCCTATGCCTCGGCATCCCATGACCAGCCAGCAGTAATTGGAGGCGGTTCAGGAACTACTGTCTCAGCAGGCCATTGAATCTATTCTACAACCTTCAACAGGATTTTATTCCAGTCTCTTTGTTATTCCCAAGAAAACTAGGGACTGGAGGTCTGTCATCAATTTGTCCTGCCTCAATCGTTTCATTCAACTGCTACATTTTACCATGGAGTAATTTCTCACCCCCACAGTGGGCATTTTCTCCCAGCTTTTCGATGATGAAGATGGACATTGCCAATGCTTATCTCCACATCCCTATATCACCACAGTCTCATCAGTATCTTTTGGTTCATCCATCACTGGGTAGTTTATGAATTTTACATCCTACCCTTTGGGCTTGCTTCCACCCCTTATGTTTCCTGTCAGGTGATCAGAGCTATTGCTTGCCAGGTTTGTGATTCCACCATTATATAGATGACTGGCTTCTTCTGGCTCATTCCAAACTAGAGTTGACCATCCATACTCGTCAGTTCCTTCTAGTGGCTGCTCAGGTGGGCTGGTTAATCAAATCAGAGAAGTACTTTCTCCAACCTACCCAATACTCATCCACTTGGGTGTCTTTTCTGACACTCATCTCAGTCAGGCCCAACCTTCTCTTCTACTATTTCGTTCCATGGATCTGTTAGTTCACCATGACCTTTCATCTCCTTTACTTTCTGCTTGTAAGGTTCTACTGGTTATGGGGATGTGGTCTTCACTGGCCTCCCTCAGTCATGTGCATATACAATCTCTTCAGTGGGATCTTAACGATCAATGGAACCTTGCTCGGGATCCCTTGTCAGCTCCTGATACCCTTCCTCCTACCCTGATGGACAATCTGCATTGGTGTTTGGATAAGACCCATGTCATCGGGCATCTCGCTTCCTCCTCCTCATCCGGATTTACATATTTTTATAGATGCATCCCTTCAGGGTTGGGGTGCATGGGTCAATCACCAGGAGGCTTCATGTCATTGGTTTATTGAGGAAGGGTCTTTGCTTATCAATGGCCTTGAGCTCCTCGTGGTCCATCAGGCTTTGAATCACTTCTTTCCTCTTGCCAGATATTGTATGGTGATCATTCATTCTGACAGTTCTATAGTGGTAGCACATATCAATCATCAAGGGGCACCCTATTGAGATCTCTCTGATTTAAAACATTGGATATACTATATTGGACCCACACACACCACATTCATCTTATGCATGTCACATTCCAGGTTCTTTTAATTTTGTAGCGGATTGTCTTTCCCACTCCAAACAAATATATCCAATGGAGTGGTCTTTAGATCCCCATGTTTTCTGGTGGCTTTGCAATTGGTGGGGTTTTACCCATGTAGATGCATTTGCCACATATCTCATCACAAGTTACCCCTCTTTTGATCCTGAGTACCTCATTCTCAGGCTCTGGCTGTCGACACCTTCAGCCAGGATTGACCTCACAAATTCCTTTATGTTTATTCTACTATTCATTATTTCATTGGATGATCTCTCTCTCATTGATATCTCTCTGTGTCGTGTCCTTCTGATTGCTCCTTATTGGCCAGCTGAACTGTGGTTTCCAAGATTGCAACTGCAACTTTTCCCTACAGTACCTCTTCCTTTTGTCTCCCTCCTTTCTTCATCAACCTTGGTCACTGGTTCTACATCCAGTCATTCATGTCCTTCATCTTCATGCCTGGCTTTTATCTGGTTCTTGGTGAGGAGATCAGGCTTCTTCCATCAAATAGCTTTCCTTTTAGCTCATTCCATATGTCCTTCTTCAATGGAGGTGTATCAGCACAAATGGAAAATGTTCTGCAGTTAGTCTGTGACTCAAGGATTCCCTGCTGACTGACCTACTGTGTTGAAGTTTCTCGCATGGCTCTCGGGATACCGGTTATCATTTTTTCTGATACCATCGAGTTTTTGTATTTTTTGTACTTACTATGCTAATGTTTTCCTTTTGGATTTGTTGTTCCCGATATGGCCTACTATTCTGGACTGGGGCTTTCCTTATGTTCCATGTTTCACCTTTCCCTTACAACATATTTCTTTCTCCTCTTAGCCTGTGATGTTTCTTGTACACTTTACCACTCTACCCATCTTCTTCTTTATCGAGATCATTCTTTCTTCCCAAAGTTCTCGGAAGCTAGGAAGGGAAACCCCTCAATTTTACCTATTTTCCTTCCTTCTATTTCTCATCTCTGCCCTTGCCCCGATCCGGATAGACTTCTATGTCTGGTCTGTACTCTTCATTGTTATATTGCCTGCCTTGATTCCTTCCATGGTACCCATTCCTGACTCTTTATTACTTGCTGGTCTTCCTCTGTTGTGGATCTTTCTCCTTCTACCCTCACCAATTGATTTGATTGGCTTATTCCTCTTTATGTCTTCTTCCTCCTGGACTTTGTTCCAG